AAACTACTTGTGTAAGCGATCTACCTTGCCATGGTTGATAATTCAAATCGATTTCATAACTGCGGAGCAAGACTTGAGAGAACGAGAGAATGATAAGAGAGAACAATGAGGTAGTTTCCCACAAACCCTATATCTTCACAATACACATTTTAAATTTTATTTGGTATTTCCCCAAAATAAAAAATAATAAAAAAAACTTGACAGAACCAATGGCTTAGCCACGTAAGTTAAACACAGAGGTGGGTCTAAAAATTTGAGCAAGGATCCTCTAGAGTTTTTTTTTTTCTTCTAAAGTTTCCTAGAGTAGTGCATTGTGTGGTTAAGATTTAATGACAAGTCACATCAATTTTTCAGCATTAAATCTCAACCACACAATACACCACTTTAGGAAACTTTAGGAAAAAAATACTCTAGAGGATCCTTGGTGTAAAAATTTAGTCTAAGGAGCGGGCTTGCATATCATTTTTCATTACTTATAAAAATTATATTAGTATCAAAACCAATGGAAGTATAGCATAAATTTTGAGGTACACAGTAATATACATACACATATTATTATACAGAAAAGTTGCATCAGCGACTGCGGTTTGTAAAATGTTGTTTTACGCGATTGATCTTTGTTTCGTGTCCCTAGGAGTGCATGTAACTCAGCCTTAAGCAAGACCCAATGGCTGTCGTGTCCAACCCGATTAAAACAAATTAGAGATTTGGGCGGGTTTAAATGGGTTAATTGCGCATTCATGGATTCGGATTAACTTTGCTAGCTCTAACTACAAGTACCTAGGATTTAAGACTAGCCAATCAGGCATCAATGAATAGACTTCAAACGCAAGTTATGTAGCTAAATGCTTTTCAATATAAACAACCTCAACAAACAATTGCACCTGATCAAAACTCAAATGGATGCAAACAACATGACATGAGAAGCCCTAGAAAGTAGCCAACTTGTATGTCTTATTGTGATGATAAAAAAAGGCGTACCCAGTGTACGAAACTCCCGCTTAAGCTGGGCCTAAGGAAGGGTTGATGCGCAGCCTTACCCCACAAACGGAGAGACTGTTTCCGCGATTCAAACCCGCGACTACCAGGTCACCAAGGAGTAGCTTTACTGCTACGCTAGGCCCGCCCTTCTATGTCTTATTGTGATGATGGAGCAACAAAATGCAAAATAAATAGCACTTACCATTCTTCTTCTTCTTCCTCTGCAATTCACAAGTGCAATCAGCCCTAGCACATTCTTTCTTTTTTTACATACGGAATGCAAGTGCCAAAGATACCTCATATCAGTCATAGAGGCCCTCTAGGTTATAACCATGTCCAATTTTAATGCGGCGAGTTTTGAATTGTTCCAAAAAGATCACCATGTCTCTAGTTCTATCCACTATCAAATGCTTAATCTGAGAGCAACACCTCAAAATTTCCCAATGCCCTCTGTTGTCAAACTAAGAAGTCCATTAAGATTTAGAGTCTGTAAATTGGGGCAAACAGTCCCTACTTTTTTTTTATGAATTCATCATTCAGATACACAGAACAAGTCAAATCCAATGATCTTGTTAATGTAAATTGTAAAAGTAAATGTAAATTACCACTCCCACTCCACCTACCACCTCCACTACCACCTTCACTCCCACTCCACCTACCACCTCCACTACCACCTTCACCTACTCCCAAATCCTCTCCTATATAAATCCTTGTAATATACACAATTCAATACATCAATCAATAATCAATCATAATACATACAATTTATTCTCTCTGTATTTCTCTCTTTATACATCAACTCTAATATGGTATCAGAGCGGTTTAGAACCTAATATTTTCGCTTCACCGGCGGGCGGCAACCTCACCTTAGCCGCCTGCCGGACCTCAACCAATTCCGCTAAAATTTTCTACACATACCTTCACTCCGCTGCATCTTCAACTCTTTCTCCATCGCTACGCAAGGTCAGTACATGAATGGCGCCATGAAGCGCCTGTTGTTGAAGGCTTCACCTTTGTCATCCTCACCATCAATTGGTTGAAGAGGTGTATACCACAGCTGCTGTGTCTGAGACCGCGAAATCCCCATCCTACCCTCTCGGTTATCTCCCTCCTCGCTCAGATCCCAAGCTCAGGAATGTCCAGTGGGTTTTCCTGGGCTGCCCTGGCGTCGGAAAAGGAATTTCCGCTAGCCGCCTCTCTTCCCTCCTCGCCGTCCCTCACATCGCACCGGCGATCTCGTCCACGAAGAGCTCTCCTCCAATGGCCCTCTCTCTCATCAGCTTTCAAGTGGTCGGCCTACGCGTGCTCCATCTGCCACAAGTCTTTCCTCACTAGCCAAGCCCTCGGCGGCACCAACGACAGCACCTCCAACAACTTGCCTGACCAGCTCCATCAGACTCGAGCTGTACTTCTCCGTCACCGCTCTCCACTCCTCTGGCTTGTCTGGCCACCGTGAGAAGTCCCTTGCTCGGATCGGGTACGAACAGTATGTCCCATTCTCTCTCCCGTCTTGCACCGCATCTCCTCGTCGCGGACAAAGCTCGAATCCAACTTTGCTAGCCATCAACCATCCCAAAACAATCCCTCATCTTTAGATCTATTCGCTGATATGCCTCATCAGCAGCCAGCAGCAACCTTGGATAAAAAAAAAAAAAAAAAAAAATCACCAGATGCGTGTGTCCCGAAGAATGAAGGATGGGCCACGTTTTGATTGCCTCAACACATGGCATCTACACATTTTTTTATAATTTTTACATCAACCTCTCTTATCTTTCCACTTTCTTTTCTTTTTTTATTTATTTCTACTCCATTTTTCTTTTTTTTTACACACCACTCATATTTCCCACTAACATGACCCAAGTGGTGTACCTTTTTCTTTTTTTATTATTATTATTATTCTTATTATATCCAATACTCACCCCACTCATATTTCCCATTAATCACTCCACTCATATTTCCCATTAATCACTTCAATAATCACTCCACTCATCTTTCCACTAACCGTGCCCTTTTGAACTCATCCCCACTTTTTTATTTATTTTTAATCCATTTTTTTTTCTTTGCCTTTCCCCACCACTTTTGACTCAAAAGCATTTTCACCTAATCATCTACTCCACTCACCTTTATTTTGCCACATCCATCTTCCCCACATCATTTCTTTTTGCTGGGCGTTACCCCTAGTTTTTTTTTTTTTCATAACAAAAAAAAAAAAAAAAAACAAACACTTTACACATTTGCACAACACACCATATTTTATTTCTCTCACGGATCAACCCCGATCACATTTTTACACAACAAAAAAAAAAAAAAAAAAAAAACACACAAACAAAACAGCCACATCCACAGGCGGGTTTTCTTCTCTACTCTGCCGCCGGTCTCTTCTTCTTGCCTCCGTCCTGAGCAGCCCTTGCCAGTGTTGCCTCCGTGCTTCCTAGACCGCCGAACACGTTCACTGCCCCCTGCTCCTCCACTGCAGCAATGGCGGACCTCCAAATCGGAACATCACGGTGGCCTTCCGCTTCAGCTCCTTGTTTTCCGCCTTTAGCACACTTATCTCTGCTCGCGCATCCTTATACATGCGTTGGAGCAGAGCCAGTTGGGCGTTTAATTGCTGCACTCATTTGTCCTACTCTGCAGCCGGTGCGACAAGTTTGTGACCGCCGTCATGGACTCCACACATGCCTTCAAAGTATACTGATTAGCCTCCACATCCGTTTGCACTGCCATTTTTTGCTCCACCGACCGCATCGGAAAGTTCAACGGACAAACTCCGGGGCGCTTGGTTGAGGTTCCAGTGCCACCGCACCAGTTTTCTCTCTTGTTGACTCGTTGAGGTCTGGAAAGAGAGTGAGCAGACTCCGGGAAGACGAGGCCATTTTTTGGGCAACAGAGTGTTACAGAATATCTCTCGCAACAGAGTGTTACAGACTTTCTCTCTCAGCACAACGAAGAGTTTTTCAGAGGATTTCGCAGGTTTTTGCCTCTGCCTCGGCCTCAGGCTCCGTCTTGGTTAAATAGCCGAGGCAGCCACGCGCATCGCGCGCCTCTTGACGCCAGACAAACGGCACGCCAGCCAAGGCACTCACGTGCCTCACCATCATATCTGGCACGCCTTTTGATGCATCGGGCACGCCTTTTGATGGCACGCCTTTTGACAAGATTGGCACACCTTTTGAGGGCACGACTTTTGAGGGCTCGATATATATCTCCATGTCTATTTTTTGGGCAGCCTATCTACACACTCATACAGTGTCTTCTACACCGGTCAGCTTTATCAATCCCTTTGTTTCAACCTCAAATAGGTTTCTATCTTCACACCTATTTGAGTTTGAGGGGGGGTTATACACAGTATCTGCTACAACGGTCCGACATGACCTCGTAAACTGTCCTGCTACAACGGTCCGACATGACCCCATAAACTGTCTGCTACAACGGTCTGACACGACCACACAGTGTCTGCTACAACGGTTCGACATGACCCCGTAAACTGTCTGCTACAACGGTCCGACATGACCTCGTAAACTGTCCTGCTACAACGGTCTGACATGACCCCATAAACTGTCTGCTACAACGGTCTGACACGACCACACAGTGTCTGCTACAACGGTCCGACAAGACCCCGTAAACTGTCTGCTACAACGGGCCGACATGACCCCATAAACTGTCTGCTACATCGGTCTGACACAACCATACAGTGTCTCCTATCCCATTTTTAATTTGTCAGCTTATTTTTCTGTTTTGTTACTCTCTCCAAACTCAAGTTGGCTAGTATCTATCCTCCTCCTTGAGTTTGAGGGGGGCTGTTAATGTAAATTGTAAAAGTAAATGTAAATTACCACTCCCACTCCACCTACCACCTCCACTACCACCTTCACTCCCACTCCACCTACCACCTCCACTACCACCTTCATCTACTCCCAAATCCTCTCCTATATAAATCCTTGTAATATACACAATTCAATACATCAATCAATAATCAATCATAATACATACAATTTATTCTCTCTGTATTTCTCTCTTTATACATCAACTCTAATAGATCTAATTGGATAATTCCCCTTCAACTCCAAGTTAAAATCATCTTCAACTTGTGGCTTTATATTAGGCAGTCCAATTTCCGAATGCATAGGACATTCTTTTGCAAGGATGAAGAATGTTGCAGTGGTTATGTTTGAACACCGATTAAATTTTATGGACACAAGATTAGGAAGATACCGGCATAAATCCCTCACGTAATTGTCAGTGAGGAAATTATTGAAACAAAGTGTCAAGTGTGTCAAAGATGGGCATCCACATAAGAAATTCGAGAGTCCATGGAAGCTCAAACCAGAATCATCGTAGATCAAAATCTTCTCTAATCAAATGCCCGATGTTGAAATGGAAGACAGAAGTCGGTCATGATCTTCTTTTGCTTCTAACACAAGACTGCGTAAAGATGTTGCATAAATCATGGAATTCTCAAAAGTAAACAAATCATCTTGTACTGTGTAATAAGGTCCAGCATCGAGAGAAATCAAGTTTTGACTATTCCGTAGTACAAAACAAATGCCATGTTCAGTTACTTCACACAAACCACATCGAATTTCATGCAAAAGCTCACAATTTGAAGACAAAGCAATGAGAGATCGATCAGAACAACCAACCTGCCCTGCTATGTCTATTTTACGGAGGCTTTTCCCAATATAAGCCTTTTTTACATTGTATTTCCAAAACTAGGCCAACTTTTGACCGAATTCCAAAACTAAGTTAAAGCGCCATTACTATTCGCGCTTTTACTGTTAAGAGGTCAAAAGTTGATGAATAGTAAAATCGCTATTTGAAATCGCGATTTTAATTAAGAAAACGCTGTTCCAAATCGCGCTTTTAACATAAAAAAAATTTCTGAATAAAACGCTATTTAAAATAGCGCTTTTACTGTGCATATAATAATTTTTTTATTATTTTTTTTTTAAAAAAAACGCCATTTGAAATGGCGTTTCTACTATTGAATCACCAACCAAAGCCAACCCACACACTGACACACACACCAATGGGCACACCCACAACACTCAAGCATTGAAATAATATAATTTTTATATATAATAATAATTTATAATAAAAACTTAAATTGGGAGATTGGAACTCCCACAAGGCTTGAGATTAAAAACCCCATTTTACTTAATATATAGTATAGATAAGCCTCACATTAATTGACATGGGTTTACAACTCTAAACAAGTTGAGTTGAGCTTGTTTACCGAGCTCTAAAATTCAATTCGAGTTCGGCTTGATAATTAATCTATTTTAAGCCAACAGCTCATCTCATTAATGTTGATCATACTTGAATTCGTCTTAAAATTCGATAATTAATTTTTTTTACTATTATTTTATTTAGTTTATAAATAATATATTTATCTTATTATTTATAAACATGTTTACATTATTTTATATATAAATAATATATTTATCTTATTATTTAAATAAATGATATCATGACTGAGTTTCATGAGTAGAGTTTTTTGAGCTTAAAATTGGATCATTTATTAAATGAGCTTAAAGGCTCAAGTTCATTTATTTACGTAACAAATTGAGTCCTTGACGAGTGGAGTCGAGTTTGCTAACAATTGGATTTATTTAGCCTCCGTTTGGGAAGTGGGTTAGCTTTTTGGCTTTTTTGGCTATTTTAGCCTGGGCTTAAAAGCTTGGTTTGGGAAGGACTTTTTGGCTTTTTTTGAGTTTTTTTGTGAGAGAAGAATGTAATGATTATGGGTTGGATGTGATGTTTTGTTTGTTATGTCTAAAATAGCCTATTTTGTTTTTTGTGGCTAAAATAGCTAAAAAGGCCTGCAAACCCACTTGCCAAACACAGGCTCAATATATAATTATATAAAAATGATATATATAATACATACGTATCAAAAATAATTTATTTAAAGTAAATATATAAAAATTATATATATAATACATACGTATTATATATAATTTATTTAAAGTAAATACATATGTATTATAAATTATTATAAAATTTTTTATAATACATACGTATTATAAAATAATACATACGTATTATAAATTATTTTTGATTATAAAAATTGTAAAAATTATTTTTGATTATAAAAATTTTTATCCTTACATACGTATTATAAATCAAACCATTCATAACCTAAAAATGATTTATATTTACGAAAATTATAAAAATTATATAATTAATTATTATAAATTATTATTATATATAAAAATTATATTATTTCAATGCTTGAGTGTTGTGGGTGTGCCCATTGGTGTGTGTGTGTCAGTGTGTGGGTTGGCTTTGGTTGGTGATTCAACAGTAGAAACGCCATTTCAAATGGCGTTTTTAAAAAAAAAAAAAAAAAATATTATATGCACAGTAAAAGCGCTATTTTAAATAGCGTTTTCTTCAGAAATTTTTTTTATGTTAAAAGCGCGATTTGGAACAGCGTTTTCTTAATTAAAATCGCGATTTCAAATAGCGATTTCACTATTCATCAACTTTTGGCCTCCTAACAGTAAAAGCGCGAATAGTAATGGCGCTTTAGCTTAGTTTTGGAATTCCGTCAGAAGTTGGCCTAGTTTTGGAAATACAATGTAAAAAAAGCTTATATTGGGAAAAGCCTCTCTTCTAGGCTTTGAATTCCACCCACGGTTCCAAAAATAGCCGGAAAACTGGATATCGAGCTCTTCAAGCCAGGGTAAAGCATCAGCTATGGCAACAACGTGGTGATTTCGGAAACCCTTGACGCAACAACACCTTAGAATCTTCAAGTTGTTCATGGTTGAGCCCAATTTCATAAAAGTTTTGGGGAATGGGGATTTTTGTAAAGAACGGAGATAGAGGGATTGAAGATCCAACCCCGAAGAAGCGATTCTTCGAAGGGGGTAGTTGACATCGGCTTTGTCACCGAAGATGGGATCACGAAGCTCAATCTCTTGGAGGTTAGTGAATCGTTGAAGAGCTCTGAACAAACCCTCACAGTTATGGCTGTAGAACAATCTGTTGGGGACATTCAATTTGAGTCGAAGTCGATCGGTGATGGATAGGAATAGCTTGCAGACCAAAGAAGGGGATTGCAAGTGGTTGAGGTCATCGATTGCTAATTGATTCAGAATCAATTCCCAGCAATCTTCGGAGAGTTCCTTACACAGGTGCTTCATGATTTGATTTCAAGAAACTGAAGTTCCAAACAAAGCCCTATACTTCGTAAAATAATTGGGTAAGAAATTCTAGATAACATTTTATTTTTAATTTTACTCCTCGATCTTTTTTATACGTTTGACTTTTCATTGACTATGTGTTTAAATTTATATTCAAATTTTGTTGTTTATCTATTCATTTTTTCTATGTAAATTTTATATCAATTCAAATTTTTCTGTTCAAATTTTTTATCTGTCAAAATTTTATCTGTTCAAATCTTCTATCTATCCAAAATTTATCAATGTAAATATTCTATCTATCTAACTTTTATATATGTAAATCTTCTATCTGTCTAATTTTTTTTTTATCAATTCAAAAGATAGCAAACAAAGCAATCTGTCCAAATTTTACACAAACAAAACAACATGTCGAATTTTTGCCCCTTGTGTTTTATATATCAATCACAATAATTGCAAAACCAAATAAAACAATAAAAAAACAAGAAAAGAGCGGTGAGAATCACACAGATAATAGATCAACAGATCAAGATCAAATCTTATCAGTTCAACAGATAACAAATTAAGATAAGAGAATCACACAGAGATGGGCTTCTTAATATTGTTTGATCGATCATTGATCAATCAGTCTTTGATACTTTTTAGTTCGAATTCCTAGAACATACCATTATTCCTCTGACAATTGAATATCCCCACAAGAAACTTTTTCAAATCAACCATTACTATCAAACACAATACAATTCAAAACAACAACGTCAAGATCATTCAAAAATCATGCAAAATTAAGCATTCAATTAGTGTGTTTATCGCTATTGGAAAATAACATTGATTATTAATAGAAGCTTTAATTAGTACTAATGCATTCACTAAAATCCTCATTATAGAACAAATCGTCTTCTGCAAACAATTTGAATCGCGATTCCGCTTTGTTCTTGAGCTCGTCTGACTATCCAGTAGTGTTGCTGATTAATCTGAGCCCTTTTGAGAGCTCTTTAAGCTCGATCTTGTCCGATCAAGTTTCACTTTGATTTTCCTCGCATCGCGAACCGAACTAGAGTCTAGTGGTTCATCGGCGTTTGATGACAACCTCAATTATGAGAATTTCCTCAGATGAATCTGAGCCCTTTAAGGGCTCTCCGAGTGCTGATCTCGTCCGCTAAAGTTTCGCTTTTATTATTCACTCTAAAAAAGTTTCGATTTTATTTTCCTCACATTAAGAACCAAACCAGAGTTCTGCAGCTCATCAACATTTGATGACGACCTCAGCCACGAGAATTTCCTCAGACAACAACTATGGATGAGCATGGTCCGAATTGGTCAGGATTGGGGTAAAACCAGGACCAATCTATTATCTACGGTTCCTAAAAAATTGGAACAAATCCAATCCATTTAAATCATAGAACCAATCTGAGCCAATCCATTTAAACACAAATTAGATCGGTTTAAGAACACAAATTTACATAATTAAATAACAAAAAAAATATATATAAAACATTTTAATTTCATAAAAACATAAACATAGCATTATATTAGTTCCACAATAGCAACATGTCTTTTCATAATAGCGACACATTGCTTTAGAATTTAAACAATTATAAGAAAACTAGTTCCACCACAAGTATTTAGATCATTACAAATTCAAACTAAAAACCAACAAACAAAAGCAATAAAAGAAGATACTATGCAGGTTTAGGTTTGGGTTTAGGTTTTATATGGAATAAAAGAAGATATTATGCGAGAGGGTGTATAATATAAATATAGGCTACTTGTATATGGTTCGGAACTGTTCCAATCCAGAACCGATTCGTGGACTACAGATTTTTAATTTTTAAATCCGAAACCAAACCACGGGTTCAAAAAACCAATCCAAACCTACTGGATTGAATTGGACTGGATCGGATTACGAATTTCATAGATTCCTTGCTTAGTCCTAACGATAGCAGGTAGGGAAATAGAGAGAGAAATAATTGGGTTGACAGCAACAGCGACCCATGCTACTCTCGGGCAATAGCACTTTTGAATTGCATTCACTGAATAATATCATCATCAAATCTAATCAACATAGAAAAAAGAAATCAAATCATTAACCAAGAAATATGAAGAAGATTTGAAAATGGTAAAGATGTTATTGAGAGGTGTTCTTTAGAGATTGACGATCACAAGATGAATCTCTTCTCCTTCATCATCATCATCATCATCATCATCATCATCATTATCATCATTTTCATCATTTTTACCGTCTTCTAATGTTGCCTGTGAGAATCTCCTATCCGCTGCTAATAAATCGAGATCTACAAATCATGGCATCAGAGCAGCAGTGACACCATCAACGACATTCATTATCATTATCATCTCTGATCGTAGAGGAGAGAGAGAGAGAGAGAGAGAGAGATTTGAGGAGAGAAGAGAGATCAAGATTGAAATCGAGATATGAGAAGAGAGATGTCGCCAGAGCTATTTGGAACGTCGTCACTACCGAAGAACGACCATCGACGGTGGTACAGTAGACGGCTGAAGAGGAGAGATGAGAGAGGAGAGAGGAGAGAGGAGAGAGAAGAGATAGTCTCACATAGAGTAGAGGGAGAAGAGGGCGTTTTTCCCTTACTATTCCATTCTCACAACTTTATTCCCATTCTAGGGTGGGTTTTGTTCTTTATTCCTATTCTAGGGTAAAACGACTTTACCAATGCTGTGTTTTATGAAAAAAAAAAAAAAAATATTCCTCACACAAAACCGGCTTTTGAAAAGTTATTTTTACTTAACTTGTAATTAATTCTGAGTTAATTAAAAACAATTTTGGTAAAAGCCTTTTTTTTAGTAAATATTTTTTTAAAAATTTATATTTTCAACATAAATATTGTTTGCCAAAAATATTTGTAATACATAAAACGGTTTTAGAAAAGTCGTTTTATAATACAGCTTTACGAAACTGTTTTCACCAATTGTTTTTTTTTTGGGTTACAAGTCATCTACCCTCGTTTTTGTTCTGCTCCAACAGTCCAACACACACACACACACACACACATACATACACACACACACACACGCTGCAGTTCATCAAACAACGACAAAGAGAAAGATGCGAAAGGCACTACGGTGGAGGCGAAGAAGATGAAGGCCACCACGAGAGTTGTAGCAAGAATAAAGAAGACGAAGATAGAAAATGGCAACTCATTCAGGTTTGTTTTGTAAAAATTACGGTTTTAATTTCAAATTTGGCATTTTGAATTTCGAAATTAGGGATTTCTGAAATTAGGGTTTGGAAAAGGTACAAATTTTCTTATTTTTAAGATCTATTTTATAGCTAAGATCTACTAAATGTTCAACAAAATAGAAATCTACCTCTTAGTCACACTTTCGTCTGTCAAAGATGTACAGATTTTGTGTTTCCAAAAAATTTACAATTTTGTTTTTGTTATACACGATTAGCTTTCAAACTGAAGAATAGGTAAAAGCTCCTTAATTTTTGATGTGTTGATTGCATTTGAAATGTGTTATTATTTTATAATATTTGAATTTCGTTGTGAGATTAAGATGTAAATGACAATGATGTGGGTTTCAGATATGTTGACATTAGGTTCCACATATACCAGTCACATGAAATATTTTTTTTTACTTTTTATCAGGCATTACAATCAAATGTCATATACTAACAGTTCAACCATGAAAATCAGATTCCCAAATGTGCGTACTTTATTATTTTGAATAAATTGAGTTACTTTGAATGCAAAGTTTAGGTATGGAAGTTGTGTGCATTATGTTCTATTAGGAGGGAAACATTTTGCAAAATCACGAGGAAGGTAAGTCATACGACACCGAAGCACAGGGGCTGTATAATGTGCACATGGGGATAACATTGGGCGAGTTAGAGGCGATGATGGTGCCCAAGGTCGGTATGTATGGGGAAATAATGCGATTAAAGTTTAAATGTAGACTCCCATGTCAGGGGAAGTCTAGGTTGTTGCCAATCAACAATAATGAGACCTTAACTAATGTCTTAGATCTCCCACATAAATTAGGTCTTGATTTTTTTTTTGGAAATCTATATAGAGAATGAGAGCAATTCTGGTGGCACACATATGCCAATTCCAATGGGAGGGACATTCACTCAAATGTTGACACAATCGCAATTCCCTGACAATAAACTTGTACAGTCTCTACATGTGTTCATTCAAGATTACCCTCCATTTAATTCTTCTCAGAGTTACACTCAATTCAATGCATCACAGAACTTGGATGGTTATTACAATGCTGGAGCAGGTCCAAGTGCTTCGACAATGTATAATCCGATGGTTTATACAACCCCATCTCCCCACTAGACTGAAGAATGTCCATCGGTTTTTAATGTTCAACGTACAACGGAGACGGCTGTCCAAATTTGTGCATCCTCTGATATTACAGTGCCATTTGATGACGAGGCTGGAGTAAATTATGAAGATTTTGTGGAAGCTTTCGATGTCGCAATGGAAGGTGAAGACAATGACTCTGGTGATGATGAAGTTAAAGGACATGATAATATGCAGGACCTACACCCAAATATCCCTTTCTACCATAATATGCATTTCGACAATGATGGTTCCATCACTAGCCGTGATGTTGTCGAACGTTAGCCATTGTGAGACTTCGAAACTGCTCATTTGGGGAAATGAATGATTTTTAGTGATAAGAAAAGCTTGGTGCACACTATTTAGTTGCATAACTTGAATTGCAATCGAGAATGCAAGGTTGTAGAATCCAAAGGAAACAGTTGGATAACCAAGTGCAAGCACGGCTGCAACTCGAGGGTTTAGGCAACGAAGTTGAAAGACAAAGATTTCTTTCAAAGTAGAAGATTCGAAGGACTGCATCGGTGTGCGTACCCAAGAATGAATAGGGACAATTGCAACCTTAAGTCCAAGCTCATTGCTCATTTCATTAAGGGACAGATTGCGGTAAGTAACATGTTATATCATTTTTTACGGATTTAATTATGAGTTTAACATATTGAAATATAATTTATATTT